GGAAAGGTTTTTGTTAAGCTGCTCAGGAAGCAAGTAACATGTAAACTGCCTCCAAATCTATCCGGAAGAAAATCTGGGGACAAGCTCCCTCCACCTGTCTCTACATTTATAGATGTAACTGTCCCTGCTGTTTTTTAAAAATGTCTTTTATATTATTGGGGAGAACAACAAGGAATAAATGAAGTAGATAACAATAAATAAATAAATGTCATTCTTTATCTGAAAACATCTCAAATCTATTCCACAACTGTATAAGAACACAAATGCCATAATAGTGCAGTGATCTGTGCCACTGAAATGCTAATCTGACACTCCTACTCACAGTCTTATTAACTCAACGTCTCCAGAGTAAGTGTTTAAAGAACATGCAAATCTGGCTAGAAATACAAAAAATGGTACTTGGGAGTCTTCAACCTTTGCATACCTGAGCTGCAAGAATATGATACAAAGCCATGTGACATTAGTTATATGACAGGAATGGGGTGGGCCTCCCTTATGACCTCACCAGTCTACCTTCTAATGCCATGTCCTCCAGAAAATACAGAAACATACACAAATGATCAGATAAAGACTAAAGATACTTCGGGAGGCAAGAAATGTTGAAAATCAATTAAAGAAGGAAAAAAGAGGGGAGAAAAAGTTATTTTGCTTTTAAATCCTGAAGCCCTGAAAGCTCAAAGAAGATTTGAATGGAGAGGGATTTCCAAATTGTTCCTCTGCCCACAATTCCTCTGAGGCCTCCAGTTTTAAACTACACAATTAAAAAATTATATCAACTGCTAGGTTCATTATGCCACATTCATTTACAGTACTATATAGATCTCTGTGTGCAGGCCAAGTTTTCTCATCACACGATTATGTTTGGGATCTGAAGAGCTACTTTAGGCACACTTGAGAATTTGGGCATACCCAGAAGGATCTTTACCTTTTCCCCTTGAACAAAGATTGTCACATGCCATATCACAGTTGCCACTCTGTTTCCATAAAGTAAACTCCATTGAGAGCCAGTTTGGTATAGTGGTTAAGTGTGCAGACTCTGATCTGGAAGAACTGGGTTTGAGTCCCCACTCCTCCACTTGCACCTGGCTGGATGACCTTGGGCAAGATATAGTTCTGGCACAGCCATTCTTGAAAAAGAGCAGTTTCTGTCAGAGCTCTCTCAGCCCCACCTACCTCACAGGGTGTCTGTTGTGGAGAGGGGAGGGGAGGGGAGTTTGTAAGCCACTCTGAGACTCCTTTGGGTAGTGAAGGGCGGGGTATAAATCCAATCTCTTCTTCTTCCTCTTCTCCATAACATAATACAGAAAGCTGCTAATTGAGCAACTTCCATGGGAATTCAGAATTAGCTACACCGTTCTTCTCTGGAACCAGGCCTAAATTCTTTTGCGTCTTCTTTTCACAATGTCCATTATTCTTGACATGCTCAGTCTGATTTCCTTTACATTTGGGTACAGCCAGACACACTTTCAAGGTTGTCCTTAAAAGTCTCTGGCATGAAGCTGATTTCTCTTAAATAAACAGCCATGGTCCGTTGGAGAAAGACCAGCTTAGCAGAAGGAGATTACTGGACCCAATCTATGAGTGTCTTTATTTAACTACACTAGCAGTTTTGTTCACTTTAACTGGACTCCTCATTTACTCAGCCGCAGATGGATCATTCCCTGGTGTTCAGCAACTTATCTGCTGCTTCATGAATGAAAATAAGCTTGATAAACCGTGTGCCTGCCTACAATATACCACTGTTGCTATTATATCTAAACATGGATATCCTCTAATTTCCTTAAACTGCTGATAAGAATGGGCTTCTGGACAGAGGGATTTTTACACTGGACCAACTGACAGACTACGATGATGAGTTTTTGTCAGTTTCTCAGCTGAGGTCTAGCTATGATTTGTCAACTTCTGTTGAATGGCAATATTTACAAGTGCAACATCTGTTGATATCTCAGTAAGTGTCTCAGAACTGAATTGAGGCAGAAAATGAAACCTACAACATTTGACTATAAATATTTGATGTTGATTAATAAACATATGCAGTGTCTCAGGAATGAATGGAATAAGGAGCTAGATTGGCCTATTTTGCCAAAGCAATGGGTATGGCCTTAAAAGTTTGTACCTGCGCTTTCCATGGATTTTAAGTTGCAACCTATTCAACAAAAACTGGACCCCACAGTGATGCTCTAGCAAAAAACGGAGAAAAGTGTATATTTGCATTGTAACTCACAGGGCGCATCCTTTAAACATTTGTTTTGGGTGTGCCCAGTCATTTGGTTTTTCTGGGAAGATGTTATTACTCATATAATTTTTGTATTAGAATGGTCATTATTTTTGAGGATGCTTGTGTACTTTAAAACTATCTGCAAGAATAACACACAATCCCAAGACAGTCTGGTATGAAAAAAATATATAGATGTGTGCTAGATGCCCACAGAACAATACAATAACAAAAGAGACTACATTAAAGCCATAACATCATTTAGTGTCTGGTAATGAAAAACAACCACTTATTGCTTCATAGAGAAAATATACAAAGGTCAATAAAATTACACATAGCAGTCTGCTCCAGACTCTCTCTGTCAATATCCTTCTGTCTTGTATTCTCAAAAGCAGTCTGCTCCAAATTCAATCTCTCTTTCAACACTTATTCCGGATATTTAAGTGTTTCAGACCTCTGGTCTTTCCTCAGGAACAAATCTACTTTGGCGGCAGCAGCAGCATGCTTGAAAATAAGTGAGGAGACCTTGCCCAAGTAGATTAACAGAAAAGTAAATCAATGAATGTGTCAACTTTAACATTGAACGTGAGATTCCTATACAGGATTTGTTCATGTTCTCTCTTTCAACACTTATTCTGGATATTTAAGTGTTTCAGACCTCTGGTCTTTCTCAGGAACAAACCCTATATAGGAATCTCACATTCAATGTTACCTTAAAGTTTAAGCTGTAGTACAGGCATAGACAGTCCATGTTCATTGGCCATCAATTAGCTTCCAAGAGACCGTCCATGCCTTTACTACAGCTTAAAAAATCTTGTATTACAACACTGGAAAGATAAATGCTCATCTTCAGTAAATGGACTGAGCACTTTAGAACGCTATCAATATTTGAATGCATGGCATAAAGACAACTGGGAATGGACTTATTTTTAGGTATCTGGAAATCTTTTATAGAAATTTATGTGTAGATCTGCCACTACTGTTATAGTTTTGCCTCTGCTTTATGCATACTTGTGGTTTTTTAAAATTCGATTTAGTTGTTGGATTTTGAGTTTTTCCCCTTGTACTTTTTCCCATTTTTTTTTTAAGAAAGAAAAAAAAAGAATGAATTTCTGGGGAGTGGTTAACTACAAAACAGGATTTCCCCCCTACTCTTGCCTTTGATGGGCTCATAACCTTGAGGATGCATTTGATCTGCAACTCTCTTGAGGAACTATCATAATAATCAGACAGGAAGATTCTTACATTGATGTCTCAGGAATTGCTTCAGGCTGGTATGACCTCTAGAATCTCACTGGGGATTAAGACTTTCAGATATGCTTTTATCTCACCCTGTTGACCTAATTGCTATAACTCTTTGCTTGCTGGCTTGCCGACTTCATCTGTTTCCATAAAACAGGCAGTTTGTATGCAAAAACATTACTGCCAAGAAAGCAGTGTAAAAAGCCAGGATACATAACAAACTGGTTATTGACAACAGACCTGCACTCATTTTTGTTGTTTTCTACTCCCCCCCCCATTTATATATGGCACTGCATATGCAAAATGCTTTGCATATTGTTGGTACAAGCGTTTTAACGGAGGTCAGTTTTTTCCTCTGTAGTGAAGATGGGGTGGACTAAGACAGTAGTTTGCCTGTAGTGAGCTGTCAACAATGCAAAGCTTGGACCCAGCCCTCTTTGATGCAACAGTGTAAGACCTTGGATTGGGCCCTACGTTGTTGAGAAACATCTCTCCACCCCAATGCATACTCTATGAAACAGCTTTACATTGACTGGGATCCAAAGAATACATACACATGGCAAGCTCTTCTCTGGATGTGCATTAATGCTTCTCTTTTGTATGGTCCCCAGCTACAAGGTCTTACACTGTTAAATGCTACTTCCACACACCGACTTTGAAACAGTTTACTGGACATAGAGGGGAAAGCTATCAGACGACAGGGGTTTTTTTTGTACATGTAGCACTTACCTCAACACCTTTTCGATCCACACTACCACTTCACTAAGAATAGACAGGGAATCATGCATGCAGAACTCTTGGAAATTGCTTTACATCCAAGGCACCAATTAAAACATTGCTGGGATTTTATACATTTATTTAAAACATTTCTGTGCTGCCTTTCTAGCCAACTCAGGCTCCCCCAGGCAGTGAACATTTAAAAAAAATGAAACAAGATAGGATGAATTTAGAATATAAGGTTTTCTGTTTTGATACAATCATACAATTTATTTAAAAAAATACTGCACTATTTATATTAGTCAGAATGAGGGCTAGCCATCCCAAGCCCTTAGGATGGAGTAAGCTCTCCATCCGAATAAATCATATATTACAGCCTTCCTAAAAGGATATATTCCAAACAGGCAGAATAAGCAAAAAGTGGTTTTAGATGTATGACCACAATTTTCATTTATTAAAAGTCAGAACTTTTTCAGACAATTATATTTTCAGAGTAAGTATGAACAGTTGATGGTATGTATCCAAGAAAAGTCAGTGGAGTTCATCTCCAACTAAGCACAGCTCAGTTTACAGAAATACCACTCTGTGAGTGGTAGTGCTAGACATGGCTTGATCCTTTTGCATTATTACCATTTTCCACTTTTAAATACCAATTTTTAATCACCTTAATAAATAAAAAAAATTAGATCAATGCTCTAGTGCTAGCACTACCTTATGCAAGGGAAAAGAGCTCTTTGGATACAACATAATTTCTTCATGCAGTAGCATCCTGTAACTGGGGAAAAACCCACTCCTGCTAATGCGATTAGCCTTTATGCTACCGGGTACAGATCTCAGGATAAATGCAAATACATTTGTCTGTGCAAACTCACAAGTTATGCTTTTTACATTTTGTCATTAAATATGATTATGCATGATTTATTCTGCTTCCAAGTTTTTAGAAAATGAATTCTTTAAAGGAAGAAGAACAGAGGGAAAGGGGGACTTATGAAAAACCAGAGGTAAGAGCCACATGCCAGAAGATCTCTTCTGGGGAAGAGACTCAACACTATACATTTATTTAAATTAAGGATATACAAATCATTTTGAACCTTCTCCCAACATTAAGTCAGAGGGCTACATTACACACAGAAAAATACTGCTACAATTTCAACTGTTCTAAAGCCATGTCTGGTTAACCAACCTTTTAAACTATGCCCATGGACACATAAAGCTGCCTCTACTGCATCAGACCATTGGTCCATCAAGGTCATTATTATTCACTCTAAATTGCAGTGGTTATCCAGGGTTCCACGTAAGAAAAGGTTCAGATCATTTACTACCTTTTTTTAAAAATGGAGATACCAGAGATTGAACCTGGGACCTTCTGCATGCAAAGCAGATGATATACCACTGAGCCATGGCCCCTCCACTGTAGGGCAAACAATCTTTTGTCAAGTACAAATCTTTCAGAATTCTCACTCTGCTTCCTTTTCTCTCCTTATAGCATGGAGTCACTTCTTCCTGTAATATGGAATGGCTATCTTTAGCCATTTTAATTAATATTCTCCTTGTTTAGCTTAAGATGCCCCGTATCTTATGTGTAGCAGACTCAATGATACTCATTATACTATAGTCAACAGAAACATGTTTTCCTTTAATAGGAATAATTGAGATTTTCTGAAATGGAGTTATAGTTTACAGACATCATTCTTACTCTTTCTTTTTAAGCTGATTAAGAGATACAAAACAATATAGTTCTTCAGCACACCTTCTAAGCATCAAAGCACAGCTCGGGGATAATCCACCATGCTATCCCATCATCTGGTAACCAAGAAAATAGACATGTTTATGTTTTGGCTGCAGAAAGGAAAACCTAAGTGATCAATAAGAGACTGCAAACATTTATTTATTAAAATATGAGGATCAACTGTGACACATTAACATCGATTTTAAAGATGGTTACAGGGGCCATGAAAATACTGCACTTTTAACAATAATAATTCATAATTATAGAAATATTTGGTGTTCTCAAAATACTATACTTTTTATTTACAGCAGCAGGCAAGTTATAGCAGATACTCACTTTGGCTGAAACACAGTCTTCCTACAGAATACAAATCTACATTGTACAAATTTACAGAATATATAAAAGTTAATCACTAAATTCTTCTTCATCACTGAAATAAGCACTTTTTTTGATGCGGGGACGCCTTGAGTCAGATGTTGAAGGCTCTCCTGCAGTCTGCATTGATCTTTGCTGCTCTTCTTCAATTTTGGCTTGCTATAAAACAGTTATATAAAACAAAAAGACTGAAGACATCCAGATTATTACAAAACATTCTGTAATGCACATTTTATGGCATAACTATGTTGATAAACCAGTCACTTTTACAATTTAGTGGCACAATTTGAACGGTGAGTGTGTACATCTTGTATGCAATATTGTGTCTCACCTCTTGTATTCACTGCCTTCTTAGAAGGATTATAGGAAGCAAGGAGCCAAAGTACTAAAAGATCCGAACTCAGTGCTTATTCACTACTTCCTTATTCCCAAGCCCTTGGTTATCTAAAATATAGACCTCTTCATCTAAAATAGCAGGAAAATGTGTCATGGGGCCTCTATCACCACATTCACACACCCCACAGCATGTCATGCAACAAGTCCATAAATAGTGGCATTAACAAGGTACAGGTTGGAGGTAATCAGTAAAAAAATAAAGCATTGTCTACTCTAAACTGGCTCAAATCCACAATGCAAACACATAATGAAATGGCTGAAGGCAATTTCTTCTCTGACAACGAAAAGTCAATCTTTTTAGTACAAGATGAATCAATGTTGACAAATAGTTTAAGAATATGAAATGCTCCATTTCCTTTACACTGGCTCATACATACGCCTGAAAGCACAGTTGCACAGGCATAGCTAATATCTAGCTAATATCTGAAGACAGG